GCGGGGGGGGCGCCGCCGCTGCCAGCCCCCGGCGTTTCGGGGAGCAGGGCGAGGTGCGGCCTCGCTCAGTGGAGCTGGGGCTGGAGGATCGGCGCGGCAAGGCCAAGGCGGAGGAGCTGGAGGAGGACGAGGAGGAGGAGGACGACGGGGACTCGGACGCGGCGGCGTTCTCCGTGGGCAGCTGCTGCGGCGGGCTGCTGCAGATCTTCAGGTCGAAGAAGTTCCAGTCGGAGAAGCTGGAGCGCCTCTACCAGCGCTACTTCTTCCGGCTCAACCAGAGCAGCCTCACCATGCTCATGGCGGTGCTGGTGTTGGTGTGCGTGGTCATGCTGATCTTCCACGCGGTCTACGGACACTACAAGGTACCCTATGTGGCGGTGCTGTCCACCGCCATCCTGCTCATGGTGGTGCTGGGTGCCGTGTGCAACCGCAATGACTTCCACCAGGACCACATGTGGCTCGTGTGCTACTCGGTCATCCTGGTGATCTTGGCCGTGCAGGTCGTGGGCGTGCTGCTGGTGTGGCCCAGGAGTGCCTCCGAGGGCATCTGGTGGACGGTCTTCTTCATCTACAGCATCTACACGCTGCTGCCCGTCAGGATGCGGGCGGCGGTCATCAGCGGCGTGGTCCTCTCTGCCATCCACCTGGCGATCTCCCTCAAGATCAATGCCGAAGACAAGTTCCTGTTAAAGCAGGTGAGTCAGGCGAGCCTCAGCTTTGGGGCCGAAAGGCTCGTGTGTCCTGAGATGCTAGTGGCTTCCGAGGGTGAGGCAAAACAGGTTTGTAGGTTGGTTTTTGGGGCAAAGGCTGATGGGACTTTGTCCCGGACCTCGTACCCAGTTACGAGCTACTTTAACCTTGATTTCTTCCTGCTACGGTCCTGCTTCCTCTTGATTGCTTTTCAGTAACGGTGTACCCACGCGTCTCTTGATCTGGTTTACTAGCTGATCTTTTGGCACAATGATAACGGACTAGCCCTATTAACAGCTAGTGCCTTCCGGTTTTAGTCCCCGTAAACGGACCGGCCCTAAGCACACCTGTGGAAACGGTGGATGTGTTGGATGCCATGGTCCTGAAAAAACGTGTCAAACGTTGTGACTTGCCATCAGGATGGAGGGGAAACAGCTCTTGCCTATAAATGTAGGCGTACATATCAAATGCCAATAAAATATTTTTGGGGCTTCAAAGAGATGTATTTAATATAAGATAAATATCTCGGTGACCTAAAGAAAAGTGTTTGCTCTTTGAAATGTGTAGTACATACCTAGAGTGTAAAGAAGTCCAAAATGCAATCCCCACACAGCCTCGACTAACTCAAGTTTTAGAGACAGATCTTTTTCTCATTTATAGTTATTTATTCTATCAAGATTACAGTTAAAATAAATAAAGTGTTAAGCTGGAGGAGTTCAGCTCGTCCAAACAATAGTCAATTTTCAAATGCACTGCAGTGCAATTTTTAATTACCCTGTCTGTTTAGACAACAGTAATACAAGGCACTTCTTTTCCTTGCTAAGCAGAGCAAGCATTTTAGAGGGGTTGTTTTGCTTAAGCTTAGCAAATGCATTAACAATAGGAAACTATCATTGTGTTTTCACAATTAAACAAATGGATGAATAAACAAGTTATTGTTAAGCAGTTTATTTTATGCTGGGGGTTCTGTGCAAGTGGGTGTAACTTACTGTTTCGGTTCTTATACCACTTAGTAAGAGAGGATTATCAGCTACCAATACACAATCCTAAGTATAAGAGTATTAAACTTCTTCCATGGCTGAGTGAGTCTTGCAGTTTCTAAGATCGTTCTTTCTAGTGTTCACCTTATCCTGAATTCAGGAAAGACTCTTCTAGGACTCTTTATATTAGCCAGCCAATGCTTGGGTGAATTTGAAGTGGTAGTGCTCTGTACTAGTTCAAAATATTACTGAAAAACCATTTTTCTTATAAATTAGTGCATCTAAGCAGCTTTTAGTTACGTTTCGAGGTTATTAAAACATTTTGAAATGGACCTTTTACATTGCTCATTCTTCTCGTGCATGATTTAAGTGGCCTGTTTATAGGTTCATAGCAGAATTTCATTAATTATTGTACTTAATAGAAGCGTGGCAAGTATGTCATCTTCGTCCGTGCAGGGTAAAGATTTGCTAACGCGCTCGGATATTACTACTTGGAATTCTGCTGCTTCTGCATTTGCTAAACTTCATCCAGTGCCAGTAACCCCATTTCGGTCAAGGAGACTACTCGAGTTGCATAGACCTTAGGCATGCATGCATGCCTCCCAAATAAGCACCAGAAGATGTAGCACCAAAGTACTAGGGTAAGAGTTTTCTTTAAAATTGTCACCAAATACAGTATTGGTAATGTCGTATTTTTGGAGCACTACTTGGGTCTCCTGATCATCAGAAAGCATTGGTTTAACTGTGAGGAAAGTGAGTTGTAGAGATGGAGAGTTTGGCCATAGGCCTTGTGCACTGGAAGAACTGTGCTTAACAGTTCAGGCTCTCAGTTTAGGTTTGATAAGTGCCATTTTATTTGCAGTTAACTACTTCACATGGCACCCCTAACAGTATGGCCTGAGGAAGCAGTGTACGGATTACAACGGACTCGGTCAATCCTGTGCTGCAGTATCCCGGGCCCACTTAGTAATTCGCAGCATTCTGCAATCCTCAAGTGGCCTGCTCCTCTGCCGGCATGAGCTTCTTTACAGCAGACAAAGAAAAAGCATTTAGCTAATGAAATGGTCATTTTGCAGGGTTTGCATTTCACCGTTTCTTAGAAATTAGTCCTCTGTATTGTATTCCTGTACTGTGTGATTTTTATTTTATTTTATTTTTTGAGGGGGAGGGGGGGCTTAATTTAAATATCGGGCCTTTATTTTCATGCAGTATAAATAAGCCTGCCTCTACTGAAGCCTCCTTTATGCCAGCAGAGGATCTGGTGCACAGTATATTTGTGTATGTACATAAGCTGGTATCTAGAGCTGTCTAACATTTAAAATCTGTGTCTACAAAGCACATTGCCTCACAACTCTTAGCAGGCCTTTCTGACTGAGGCTGTAGCTTGTTGCCATGGAAATCTAATTTTTGCTTAACTCTGTCCCACTGATGCATATAAGCCCTATTTCTCTCAACCTCAATGTGCGGAGGTGGATGAAGGCCAGATAAATCAGTGTTTTAACGCTTCTCAGCTGACACTATTCTCAGCTGTGATTTCACTCAGTCTGATGAATCTCAGACTGACGTGACTGTCCAGTTGGTCAGTAGCTGAACTCACGGCTGTTTCACCCCTTGGCTCTGGATCTGTGTGACCCCTTAGAAAACCATTCTGAATGTATTCCCATCTCCCTAAACCAAATTCCTTGCTGCTTGTTGTTTTGTTTTTAGGTGTGTATGTGTGTCTTTATTTTGTCTCTTGTTCAATAGCTTCAAAGCTAGAAGCATGTACTCTTGTTTCAAGGATCGTGGACTATTCTATTGCAGTCCATGCCTCCTGTATTCTTGAGTGCTTTTTTAAGACTCTGAATCCTTTTAATAAATGTTACTGCACCTTGAGAAACTTTTTTTTTTTTTTTTTTTTTTTTTTTCTTTCCCTTTTTCCCTTTTCTTGTACATCTTGATGGCAAGAGAGTCGGCATATTCTAATAAATAGCACACAAGATGGGGGTCATCTCTTGTGAAATACATTATGACCGGATTACCTGTGATCCAAGTTTACAATATCCAGATATGCTACTCTTAAAGGTCCAGGGTCAATTCATCACAATTCATCCTTAAAAGTGGATGGTGTACTTGTCTGGTGTAAAGGGAGTGAAATGGGTCATAAAGAAGAAATGCTATATAAAGGATCTCTTCTCTATATCTTTGCTCCTTGGCATAGGCATGTGTAGAGTTGGGGGTTGAGAGAGGGGGTCCAGGTTGGGGCTAGCAAGACTGGTATGAGAAGAGGAGTATAAAGTATCTGTGGGTCTTCTGATTAGGGACTGCACCTGCCCCTGAATGGGATTACGGGAAGCATAAAGGGTCTCAAAGTTCCTTTGCTCTTCTGTGCTCAGCACTGGGACAGGCCAACAGCATTGTGACTCTTTTAATTGTTCCTTTTTACAATGGAATCGTGTTTCTCTTCCCCCTCCTGGGAAGTTACATAAATCACTTCTGACTTTGCTCCCCCTGTTTTGAAATGTGCTGGATGTACTCTCAGGAGTGCCGAGTACTAGCAATTCTAGCAGAGATCAACAGGTGCTGCAGGCAGTAAACGTTTCTGAGAATTGCGCACACGCAAATTTGTGATTTCTTTGGCAATTTGAGTCTCTTTGTTTTTTATTGCTGGTTTACTTCTCCAGATGATTGGGCAGGGGAGGGAGGAAATGTGAGGAAATAGATGAATAACCTTTCAAAAACCAGAATTGCACTCTGAGAAGAAAGAAATCTAGTATATGAGAACACTTCACAGCCAAAGTCTGGTCAATAGAAGCAACATATGTTCCATAAATAACACTTCTCTTAACCTACAAATATTTTAATTGCTTGTATATTTCTTTTATCTGCAGCTAGTTAATCCTCAAGTATTCTGCTTTCAAAATTCAATTTATTTTCCCAGTTGCATGCCCTGAGATTTATTTTGGGAATGTTTGGATTACAAATGTGACTTAGTGCCCAAGGGTTGTATATACATACTGTTTTAGCTCTGTATCCTGAGTTTTTTCCATGAGGGTCTAATACACTTCCAGATAATATTACCACTGGAGTTCATCTCAGAAGTTAAGGCTGTCAGTAAAATGTCTCTTATAGAAGGAGACGGCCTAATAGTTTTTTCTTCCAACTGAGGATGCTATTATTTCTTCTCCACATTCAGTAAATAGGGTATTGAGAGTTCATGTGGGCTTTTTACTGTAACAAAGGTAAAACTACCAAGCACTTCACAGACATACAGGAAAACTACAGAGCTTTGTGAGGTTACAGGCTTGAAAACAACTCCATACATGTGCACAGTCCCATTGACCTCTACAGCTAGGGACAGAAGTTACACATAAACCAGTTTAAGTGACCAGAAACTGGTTTAAATCTGTAATGAAATGGAAGTTCAGTGCACATAAACCAGTTTCAAAATGTCTGAAAGTGGTTTAAGATAAATCTGGTTGAATGTAGTATCAAACTCAACTGAAATAGGTCAAACCGGTTTATGCAACCTCTGTCCCAGACTCCTTCCTCATTTTAAGCTAAACCGGAGTCCTCCAGGAGCCCTGGACTGGGCTGTGCTGTCTGCTCCGGAGAGCAGGGCTGGCCCTGCCCCTCTGTTTTCTAGCCCGGGCAGGGGCATGGCCAGGCACTGGCCTGCTGTGGCCCCCTCGGGTGAAGGGGGCAGGGAGGGGGTTTATGTCCCTTTCCCCCTCTTCCCCCCTCCCCCCCCCCCAGGGGCCCCAGCCAGGCCTTGGTCACTGCATCTGATGCTTACCTGCAGCCAGGCAGGGAAGGGGTTAATTCTTCCCTCTGTCCCCTTTCCCCCTGGGGACTGCAGCAAATGTCTGTCAGCCGCTGCCTCCGCCTGTTACTCCCTGGGTGGGGCTAGCAGCAGAATAAACCACCTCCCTGCCACCTTCACCTAAGGGGACCATGTCAGCCAGCCTCTGGCTACATCCCTATCCCTGCTGGAGTGGCAAGGGGGCAGGGACCCTGACAGGCGCAGCAGCCTCATGATGGTGCCT